TGTTACATTCGTGTTATCACATTGGGCTCCTATTTGGATCTGTTGAGCCAGAATGTACAACTAGAGTATGCGATAGCGCCCTGCCACCGTACCCGTGTCTAACGCACCGTTTATATTTTCATGATCATACATCTCACACGTATTCACTCTGTATTCACTGATATACTCATGCATCTACCCATTTAAGCCTATTTGTCGCAACCAACACTGATAGACGACCTCATGGTATGGGGTGAGGCTGTTGTATGTTCTAACCAAGGCACCCGTAATAGTCCCTGGGCTATGTGTACTATAAGTATACAATACGACTCTACACCGTTGACCCCTTTAACTAGTGTGAATATGTGCGTATGTCCTCGTATGCCTGTGTGTACATATTCACGCATCGGACACAATCAATCATGTTAGCCAGCGTTTATGAATGACTTTAACTATCAGTTTCGGTTTGGATCTTCTGTTCACACTATCAGGACGGTCATGTCTGATCCTCTGTGGCTGGGTGGACAATGCCAACACACAAGCCAATTTCCCAATGTGGGTTTAGCAAATGCCAAAATATTGGGTGCGATTACTTACCGGAGTGGGCCGGAATGGGAGGAGAGATTCGGCAGGAGAAGGCTCTCCAAAAGACCCTCATTCGGTCCCGATTTCGAAATTGAAAAGTATTTGGAGAAAGTAACTCAAGAGGCTTTGCATCGAGGTCATCCGAATGCCTACCTGTACTTGACTAAGGTAGTGTGTGTATGTAGTGTGCAGTTTTCAATAGCTGAACATTGTGCATGTTTGTCATTGGTTGGGGGGGGGGTATTTTAACTATAGTATCACTGGTAATTTTCAATTCTGAATTTATTGTTCCAGTACAATCAGGGGTTTAGTTCAGTTCGTATTATTTTGGTATGTAATTTCTAGCAGTTCATCCATGTCTTTGATACCAATGGTTAGAGAACGTTGTAAGCGCTTTGTGTATAAGATTATATATAACGTTGTAAGCGCTTTGTGTACAAGATGTTATTTTGCTATTGATTTGGTGACAGTTGAAGTATGTGAATGTCGCCTTTGATCCCCTGGCCGTCCCAGGGCTAGTTCTACATCACCAAGATACTTTGTACTTGCCCGTTGTGCAGCTCTTGACAGCTTAAACACTTCCTTGGCGTAAAGTCAGAATTCATTGTGTGGTACGTACGTCCATCTACAAGCACACCCCGGTTGAAGACATACCTGATGAAGCCGTAATGATAATCACGCCTACATGTCAAATAAACCGACACCAGCGCAATGGTTCACGGCACTACCTACGAACACTGAATGAATACGCAGGCGGCAGCTCAGTAGTTTCAGATAGTAGGTGGTGGTAAATTGTCCGTCTGGGCACTAGAGCGAACGCGTGCACGACTGCTCCAGCTACAGAGATATTAGCTCTTGCATATCACACATAGATACATATATATATATATATATATATATATATATATTTATTCTTGATTCAAAGGTACTTAACATCTGTTGGCATATTTTCTCTGTATATTCTGTCGGCAGGCAATGGATCTATACGACTTGAGTCGTGGTTACGCGTCGCTGGAAGAAAGCTTGGCACGGATAAAAGCACGGACACTCGTGCTGGGGGTGCAAAGCGATATTCTCATACCCATCTGGCAACAGCAGGAGGTCGCTACCAGACTCAAGGCAGCTGGGAATGAGGAGGTTACTTACTATGAATTGGATTCTATCTATGGGCACGATACGTTCCTATTGGATGTAGACAATGTGGGCGCTGCGGTGAAGGGCCATTTGGAAAGCATCTAATAAAAACCTGTGTTTCACCATGGGTCGTCTTTATAGTCCCGGAGTGAAGTCTTTTTTTAAATATAGCTTTCTGGATTAGAACATGCGTGTAACAGTATTACAAGCTCGGTCAACTGTCCAGTTTACATTCGATTAGGTGCAGTATCACATTAGTTATGATTCCGCTGAAAAACGGCTCAGGTATACTTTTACTATCGGGTTTTTTTCGCATGCGATCTTGTTGGCATTGCGTAGTACCATGATATGACCATGATTATTTTTCATTGTTAATATTTGACAAATGAGAATAGTGATCCCACCGGAGAGAGCTTGTACATCTATTATTTAAGGTCTCAGTTCTTGCAGTTCTTACTCTATTGGGAGGCTTGATCATATTACGGCTGTAGCCTAACAATGATATAATGGTGGCATAGGAAGTGCGATGTCGAGTTGAGGAACGATGCTCAGACAATAGTGTATACAAGACAATAAACATCGTGGATTCCTGTAGATTTTGATTTTCGTATGTACATATGAACACATCAATTAAGCTTCTCCTTCTTGATTTGCGTCTGTGTTTAATTCACGATTGTAATCGAGATGAATTTGATTATCACTCGCGTGAAATCCATCATCTAGACGTTCCAGACTGTTTGGCTTTTATTTAAAAAACACAGATATATCCGCAAATGTGAGACAACTCTAAAAGGTATTTAAAAAATGGGCTCCTTCCGAGTTTTACGACGACGTAAATTTGGCAGAGACCCAAAATCCAGATCCTGAAACCCCGAAGGCTGAACCCAGAGGGATAAAAAAATATCCGAGAACAACCCCAGAGTCCAGAAGTGCTCTGAAAATGCCGTGCTCAACTATTTAACTACTGAATTGTCTGAAACCTCAAACCCGGTCTGCACACAATCTGTCAATCAGACAATCTGCAGCCCTTAGTCTTAGACTTGTCACTTTAGCCCCAGCTGCCGTCCGATGATCCGCCAGCCTGCCAGAGCCCAGAGCAGAGCACCGGGTGACCGCAATTTATGGAAAATGCATAGATTAGTCATTACTCATTTTTAACTACATGAGCATGATGACTGTTCGTGTGACGTGTGAAATCAGATCTCAGATCGGAATTTCTTTGTATGAGTTTAGCCTTCAAGCCAGTTATTTCTGCTCACGACTCCATTAAAAAAATCAATCCAGAGGGATTTGTTGGTATTTTATATTTGAAAAACGCCCCCCCCCCCCCCCCCCCAACCCTCCGCTGCATACATTTGAATTTGATGGGAATCTGATCAAATCTGCTGTTTTGGCGATTAGACGTTTTTATTTTTGCGTTGCGAACTGTATGAACACTAAGCTGCCTATCAACCACTTCTTATAACAGCCAGGTCGACTACTCGTATAATATCTTTCGAAGAGTTCAAGTATGACAACTCTAATATCTTCATTGGAGGATATCCCTTTCCGCGCGAGGTTTACCATACATGTCCTCAGCTTGGCTGGTTGTTGGTTCTGGTCATTCCACGTGGTGAAGAATATACACGCAGA